CTTGGATCTGCACGCATATTACGAAAATACATTACGACGTCCTAGGCCCCTGGGTGGGGCCCGACTAGTAACCAATGCCAAATCCGGTGAAACAACTGGCCGCTGTGATACAATTGTACAACAACAACAACAACAACAACAATAATAATAATAATAATAATAATAATAATAATAATAATGTTAGATACAATTAACGTTTTGATTATTAGGGGAAAATGTTATGATACAGGATATAATCAAATAAAGGAGGGATAAGAATAACAATTCATATATAGATATGGGTATAACATAAGGAAGCTGGATGTAAACTTTAAACAGTGATTTGAAAAGGAGGAAAGGAGGTTTAGAAAACTTGGTTATTAAATATTATGGATGTTTAACTAGAACAGGACATAAGGATTTAGTGTTAGTGGAGGATTTTGGAAATAGTAATTGAAAGGCCAATATGTGGTTATGTATTAAGCTTTGGTATATTTTATGATGAAGGACGTTTAAACAATTATAGTCAAATGAAAATGGAGATATAATGATAGTGACATGTATAAATATTCGAGTTAAAATACTTAAGTTAATATGAATTATGTTTGTTGACTGGGGAAGAGATGCACGAAAGTTTTTTTTTGTAAGAAACTGATACACTTTCTGGCTTTATGTGCTTCTATCCCACTCATTTTCCTGATGATGATTTAGTTCATTTAATACCCTGCTGCAATTTTCAGTTAGGAATGGCTACCAAAGAAATTTACAATTAACAATTAAAGTCAGACAAAGAGACATTTAATTAGAGATACTGATTCCTAGTGATTGATGATATGAGCTTGATTTTCAGCGCTTTCCTCTGCTGGATAACTAGGCTAAGAAAAAAAAAAGGAAAGGGAAAATATTCTCAGAGAAGATGATGTTTATTTTGGGCATCAAAAAAATAAGAGGAAAAACTCATTTCTTGAAGAGATGAATTTCTTCAGCTAGATATTAAGAATCTCCTCTGAAAACCAAAGGTGATAAATCAACAGTTCAGCTCTTCATCTTGAAAGCTGCTTCCCTTCTAAGCTGTGCTCAGTTAATAGTTTGAACTTTGGAGGCATTCTCTCTTGCCAGACTTAAAAATGGAAATTGAATTTTGTTAAGGAATGATTGTTGGAGAGAATCTATTTGATATCCAAAACATTAGGCATAAGAAATATTTGCAAAGCATTAATTCTTTTTTCTAGCTGTCTTTGTTGGTATTGAGTGGTAAGTAAGGCAACATAAATGCACATATCCATTTATTGGAACCATTGATTAATTAAGCAATTATTAACTGATTTGCTCCAGCTAATAAATAAATAAAATGAAATGTAATAAGTAGCCATGTTAGCACAGTAGTTAAGTGTACAGTACAGGTAGTCCTTGACTTACAACAGTTCATTTAGAACCCATTCAAAGTTACAATGGCACTGAAAAAAGTGACTTATGACCATTTTTCACATTTACGACCATTTCATCATCCCCATAGTCAGGTGATCAAAATTTGGATGCTTGGCAACTGACTCATATTTATGACTGCTCCAGTGTCCTAGGCTCCTGCAATCAACTTTTGCGATCTTCTTATAAGCAAAGTGAATGGGGAAGCCAATTCACTTAACAACTGTGTTACTAACTTAACAACTGCAGTGATTCACTTAACAACTGTGGCAAGAACGGTCATAAAATGAGAAAAATCCACTTAACATACATAGGTGAGTCGAGGAATACCTGTATTTCAGACAATTACTGCCTATACAGAATCCTCTGCCCATAGCCTGGAGTTTGATCCTGACAGGGCTCAAGGTTGACTCAGCCGCCCTCTTCCAGGGACCCAGATTGTAGGAGACAATAGGTGAATAATGCTTCTACACAGTGGTGGAATTCAATTGTTTTTTACTATCGGTTCTGTGGGCATAGCTTGGTGGGCATGGCAAGGAAAGGATACTGTAAAACCTCCATTCCCTCCCCACTCCAGGGGAAGGTTACTGCAAAATCCCCATTCCCTCCCCATCAGCTGGGACTTGGGAGGCAGAGAATAGATGGGGGCAGGGCCAGTCAGAGGTGGTGTTTACTGGTTCTCTGAACTACTCAAAATTTCCGCTACCAATTCTCCAGAACTGGTCAGAACCTGCTGAACACCATCTCTGCATCTACATTTGTAAACTGCCCAGAGAGTGCTGTAAACCACTTTGAGGTCATATATAATAAGTCTAAAGGCTATTGCTATGGCTAGAAAAAAAAAGATACTATATTGCAGATTCTTGTCTTCTCTTTTAAACTATTTTTTTGCTTAATACTATTAGTATTGAGTCCACATGCAACTGATATCCTCTGTTCTTAGAACAGTTCTGGTGTCATTTAAAAAAAGCCTCATTCGTATTATATTGTTGCTGCTATTTGCAGATTTTTAAAGATAAGAGCATTTTGAGTAGAGAACTTGCTTGCATCAGGAGGTCTACAGAAGGTGAAGTTTTAGTAAGTGGGTTCCAAACATAGAAAAAGTTGCCTTTATTCAGATTTATCCTTCTTTACAAATTGGAAACTTTGCATGTTTTATTTTATTATTTGCTTATTGAAAAGTGATCAAATTGGACAGGTTGTGAGAGTTGTATATTATTGATAATTCCTACTATATTAGCCTATTCTGTAGTAACTCTTACTTGAGCCGAGGTGGCGGAGTGGTTAAATGCAGCACTGCAGGCTACTTCAGCTGACTGCAGTTCTGCAGTTCGGCTGTTCAAATCTCACCGGCTCAGGGTTAACTCAGCCTTCCATCCTTCCGAGGTGGGTAAAATGAGGACCTGGATTGTTGGGGGCAATATGCTGACTCTGTAAACCGCTTAGAGAGTGCTGAAAGCCCTATGAAGCGGTATATAAGTCTAATTGCTATTGCTATTCCCTTAGAAAAGAGATTCACAGGACTTAGTAGGGTTTCGTTCTAATAATAATACTTGGAATTTAGTTTTTCTTATGTCTTCTCTTTGTAAGAGAGCTGATAATATTGTGCTATTGCTGTTGAACTAAAATTTTCTTATTTGTGCAGAATACGAAGAAGAACTTGATAGAAAATTTGAACTGGAGAAAAATACCCTGGGGTTGAGGAAGGTAAGGTCAATTAGATTAATTAAAATGCATTGAAATGTGATTGAGATTCAATGATAGTAAGCAGTGTTGAGCTTTGAGGCCTAATGTGTTAAATTACATTCAACATGAAGGTAGAGCATTTTGATAGAAATTATGATAATACCTCTGTCCACCCAGTGCAAAATAGCTTGTCAAATTGTCATGCTATGACTTTTTAATTAACATGGCCTGTAGTACTTAAAAGAAAAATAGAATTAGCGCTATGTTAAAATTTGCATATTGTTTGCTGTATAGCAGAGGTGTCAAACTCAAGGCCCGTGGGCCAGATTCAGCCCACGGGGCTGCCCTGGAAACAGCAAAGGACCGGTCCTCAGTGCCTCTGCCAGTGAAAATGGAGCTTGGGAGGCATTGTGCATGGCCCTCCCAAGCTCTGTTTTTGCTGGTAGAGCGCTTGGGCCATCACAGGCATCCTCGTCACGAGTGATGTTGAGCTGGCCAATGTCACCCTGGCAACGCACCCCCCCCCCATCTGCCCCAATGTCAAACACAACCCTGATACAGCCCTCAATGAAATTGAATTTGACACCCCTGCTATATAGCCTTCAGCTCTGTTCTCTCTGCAGGGTAGGTTAAACAAGTCAACACTGTACAGTTAGTCCTCAACTTACAACCACAATTGAGCCCAGAATTTATATCCCTAAGTTGAGACATTTGTTAAATGTGTTTTGCCCCATTTTGTGACTTTTCTTGCCACATTTGTTAATTGAATCACTGCAGTTGTTAAATTAGTAACATGGTTGTTAAGTGAATCTGGCTTCCCCATTCTGCTTGTCAGAAGGTCATAAATGATAATCACATGACCCCGGAAAACTGCAACCATCATAAATATGATCCAATTGTCAAGCACACAAATGCTTGACAATTGGATCATCGATCATGTGACCATGGGGATGCCGCAACAGTCATAAGGGTGAAAAATGGTCATAAGCCACTTTTTTCAGTGCTATTGTAACTTCAAATGGTCATTAAATGAACTGTTGTATGTCCAGGCCTACCTGTAATTACAGCATCACAGTTGAAGCCCTGCACCTTTATACATTCATGCAACATTTATACTTATTTGCAGCTTGCTTTGACTCCCTCTGTGGGTATTAAAGCTTCAGTGTGCAAATAATTGCAATAACTGCTGTCGCACTCACATTTCAGTACACTCTAATTCTTAATATTATAGGCTAAAATTGTTTGGAAACAATAACTACAATTATTTTTTTTCCTTGGGGGTACCACAAAATATGGAATATTATTACGCTAAAAAGTCTCAGGTTATTTTCTTTTCTAATGTGTCGCCTTATATCTAAAAACATGCCCATGTTTGGGTATGTTTTCAGATATAGTTTTTTTAAAACATATATGACTATATTTTAGAGATACAAGAGTATTTGGGATATTTGAGGCATTGTTGGGTTAGATGCAGATGTGAATCAGATCCAACATCTCTTTAATTCTTTCTGCAAAAAATAGCTTCAGCCAAATTTTCTTCCAGTCAGCACCTTCAGTAATTTTGGTTGTGCTGAGTTGAGCTAAGTTTCACTTTTATAAATTAGTTTCATGTGGAATACTTAGTGACATTCACCTTAGAAGACAGTTTTGGCTGAAAAGTGACCTATTAAAGTATGCCTATTAACATATTAACATAGCCATACTTTGTTGAATGTAATTAGTGCTCTTGCATCATATAGCTACTGAGAATGTACGATTTAAAAAGCTAGCAGCTTTTGGGGGTATCAATTCATAGCCCTTCCCTTAATAAAGTTACCTAAGTCAAAGAAATAACTTCTGCCCAGTAGAGGGGTGTAATTCTACAATTCTTTCCTGTGCAATCCTATATCTTTCTAAAAACTAATTGTCCACCATACTTTTTAAAAATCACCCCTGAGTGTGCGCCTGTGTGTGTGTGCATTTTGAGGATGAAGTATAATTCTAAGGTTTTAATATAAAGAAAATATGGCAATTTTTGGATGGCAGCCATGAGAGTTTGCATTTCTTAGAGATGTATTTAGTTATTCTTTCACAACCTTAATAGTCCTGTACTGTTGGTATGTTACATTTTAAGAAGCTTATTTGTGTCAATTTACATGGCTCTAAGAGATGCGGTGGCTCAGTGGCTAAGATGCTGAGCTTGTCAATCAGAAAGGTTAATGCTGCGTAATGGAGAGAGCTCCTGCTACGTGTCCCAGCTTCTGCCAACCTAGCAATTCGAAAGCATGTAAAAAATTCAAGTAGAAAAAATAGGAACCACCTTTAGTGGGAAGGTAATAGTGTTATGTGCGCCTTCGGTGTTTAGTCATGCTGGCCACATGACCATGGAGACGTCTTCAGACAGTGCTGGCTCTGCAGCTTTGAAATGAAAATGATATATATAATGTTGCATTTGTGCTGATTATATATATATATATATATA